CAGCAGGGGGCAGTACTGCTGCACCAAAAGCGATGGAAGAGCTGGATTTACTGGGAAAGACACTGTTACAGCAATCTCTACCTCCAGAAAGCCAGCAGGTGAAATGGTGAGTTTGAGAAGCATGAATGTTTAGTCTTAAAGTTTTTAGGGTTCCTGCACTCATTATTGATATAATATTCTTTCTTTTTTTTTTGGCTGCTTGCATTTGTTGAGTCTGAACCTTTTTCACAAAGCCTCTAAACTCAGCGTGTACCTTAATATTGGGACTTTAGGAAATATATAAGTTTGTATAAAAAGTGTCTTTGTAACCCCGTGTGTTCGTTATGGAGTGAGCCACTGCTGCAAATTTGTTTAACCCTTAAAAAAAGAAGGAAAGTGCAAAGAATCTTTCCCTTTTTTTCTCTGCAGGGATAAACTCCAGCCTCACTCCAAGGTCCCTTTACGAGATCTCCAAGCAAAGTCTGGGGTCAGCTGTAGGCCTGCTCCCGCTGTCGGGCCGACCTCCGGCCTCCTTGTCCCCACAGAGCAGCCGGATGTCGTCCTCTTTTCCAGTGCTGGCATTTCAGAAAAAAGCTCATCAGCTGCTGACCCTTATGACAGCATCTCATTAGCGGATGTTACAGTGCCTCTGGAGTCAATCAAACCCAGTAAGCTAAAACCACAACCTACAGTGACTTTTAAAGTAGTTGTTCTTCATGATAAACATTTTTATGTTTATATAATTCAAAAAATATAATTAAACTTTTTTTTTGTCAGGATTTTCCCTTTAAAATTTGTTTCTTATTGTAAAAAAAGACAGATCTTATGGAACATTTCATTCTATTTAAAGCTACTAACAGACTTCCAGTGAAATCAATCAGACAAAAGTCTCAAACTTAGACCTGGTTGACACAAAGAGGAACATGGAATATTTTGTTTAACAGCTCAGAGAAAAAGTTGCGTTTACACAAATATACGACGCGAAGGAAGACGCTGTAGTACATATGCCAGGTCATTTGGTGGCGCTGTGACTGCCACAGAATCCCACCCAAACCACTGAAAAAATCACAGGGCCTGTGCAGACAGCTCATTAGAGGTAAGCAACCATAGAATAAAGATGACATATAGTTGGGGTTTCTTTTAGATTTCCTCTAAAAGCTTTGGATATATTGTTCTCATATCGTTTTACACAGCTGTGTCTTAGCTCAATCTAGAAACTATTAAAGTCTGACGCTGATCTGGATTTAGGGTTTTTTTTTTTTTTTTTTGTTTTTTTTAAGAATTTCCTTACATTGCGAGATAGGGAAAGGATTTTCTAAATGTGGGGTACACCGCCCCCTAGGGGACGCCAGAGCTCGACAAAAGTAACTATAAACACTACATTGTGAAAATAAAGTCCCTCCACCTCTCCAAGGAACCACTACAGATACGCCCTGCTCATCCTGTTTTAAGAAGATAATATAATTTTATTTTTCCTCTATTACTCTACAATGATTTTGGTAGCATTGTGTTCTTGGTAAGGCTGAAAAAAGATGCAGACTGATGGCTGTGAAATTTCTACTACAGGTGGATCTTAACCCGGTTTAGAGCCTGTTAAATTTTTGCCGGTGATCCTAATCACCATCTGGATGTAGAAACCAACCTTTCTTAACATTGTGAGATGTGACAGTCAGCAGCTTGGTGGAGATCTGCACTTTTAGTTCCTCCATTAGAAGATCAAATGTAAGCTAGGGTGTTTTTCATGTATGTGACATCACAAAATGTTTAGAGTTATTTTAAAAGCATCTCTTTTTATTGTATCTTTTTCCTTTTCTTTTGATGTGTTTAAAGCAGTTGTGTGTGAAAACACTGCATGGACTTCAGGAACATTTGGTAGCTATCTAGCAGATGGAAGATGCTAATGAAGAGGACCAGCTCAGACAGGGAGGCGAATTAGATTCATAGCAGTCAAGCTCCCAGTTTGCTTCTCTCTGAGGCAGCGTCCATCATGGCTTAAAGCTTTTTAGAGTCTGATTGGAACTTAGGTTCTTCAAAATACTCTGTAAATGTAACATTAGTCTTCTTTTGATGTTTGTAACCAGGTGAAAGCCATTTACTACATTATGTTCTGCTTTTTTTGTATCATTTCTGTATTTTTTTTTTTTACTACAGGTAGCGTTTTACCAGTGACTGTATTTGACAAACACAGTCTCCGGGTTTTGTTCACTTTTGCACGGGACTCTCCTCCATCGAGGCCGGATGTGTTGGTTGTGATCATTTCTATGCTGTCCTCGGCACCCATTCCCGTCACCAACATCCGTTTCCAGGCAGCCGTTCCCAGAGTACGTGTAGGAATGGGGGATGATATCTTAATTCCTTCATAATCTAGCGAAGGGTTCCTCTTTTGTGATAATCCTCAGGGAAATCAAAAGAAACCTGGTATTAAACAGGATAAAGGCCTGATTGTGTATTTCTGCTAATAATGGGAATATTTTGACCATTTATTCTAACTTATCAACTTTGATTTATCAGTGGATTTATGTTTCCTAGGTGATGAAGGTAAAGCTGCAGCCTCCCTCTGGTACTGACCTGCCAGCCTTCAACCCCATCCTCCCTCCAGCCGCTGTCACACAGATTCTGCTGTTGGCCAACCCTAATAAGGTGCCCATACCTACCCTCAGAGATCATCTGCTGCTGTGCTGTAGGTGTTTACAGCAGGATGGGATTCAAACCGGTGTCACCTATCATTTATGATTCTCTTTCAGGAAAAAGTGCGTCTGCGCTACAAACTGACGTTCAACTTGGGGGACAAATCTCACGATGAATCCGGAGACGTGGACGAGTTCCCTCTTCCAGACACTTGGGGCAATCTTTAGACAGAAAGAACAGGGGAGGGGCTCCAGTCATTAGATTTGCACCATCCTTTATATTTAGGTCGAGTCTTTCCTTCAGAAGAGGAAATAGACCAGATTACAATTAAGTGGTTTCAGACTCTGCTTTGACCAGAACTGATGGATGTAAGATCAGTTTGTTGAAACCCGCTGACCCTTGTGCCTTCTTATCCTTGTTTGATCCTGTCAGTGTTTCTGAAAAGAGTTGGTACATCCTCTGATAATTAGTCCATTAAGACCATTTACTTCTGAATGTGAACTGGTTTTATTAACATATCATGAAGTAATCCCCAACGTCATGTGAATTATGATGTCAGACATCAGTGTGAGGCATCGTTGTACAACATGCAGTACAACCAGCTCCTAAGTCAAATATCTCAAACGATAATCTGGGTCTGATTCACTTAAAATCATGAAATTTGTTTCCCCCAACAAAAATTAAGTGACATTACTTTCACTTTTAGACTCAAAAAGCAGCATGAAAATCCACCGCCATATCTGAAGCCACCGGAGTGGTTTTCATTTTCATTAAACCCTTTAGAGTAGGAGGATCTGATGTGAAGAGCTGGAACCAAAGCATGCAAGATACAAACATGCTAATCTGATGTCTTTCTGTAGGGATATAAAAATATTATCCTGCAGCTAACTTTCATTAAAACAAATCCAGACAAATATAATCCATTAACAGTAGCCCCCTCTATTTTGTCCTGTAATTAAAAGGTGCTTATTAGTCTTCATCTGTTTAAAAACAAACAAAACTGTAACTTCTCTTTGTATTTCTTTTGTTTCACTCATTAAGTTTTTTCCTTATTTAAATTTGTACACATTTTGTTTATATTTTGCACACAAAATCATTCCTCTTTTTCCTCTGTTGTAACTTTTGTTTTTCTACTACTGATTAACCCAAAGAATGTCTTATAAAATAATGTGCACGTCATACTAAGTTTGATTCTGCCACATGTGCCTGAGGTTGTTTTTGATTTTGTTCCTGTAAAGTACATGTTTGAATCCATTATTTTCCCCCCATGTTTGTCTTTTCAGAAAAATACTTTGTAAAGTTAAGGTTCATCTTTTGTTAAATGGTCATTTGAGATGTTTGATGTGGGAGCAAACATTTATTAACTCCTCTGGGGTTACGGAAGCCTACAATAAAAAGGTTGAAGAAAATTTGGGAAAATATTGGAGATACAAATGAGGGTAAAAAAAATTGAAATTCCTGTTATTTACACATATTTAAAGTATTTTCATTCAATGTAGTAAAATGCAACCTAAATCCATTACTTTTATTTAAATGGAAAAAAAAAGCCTTGCTGCAATTGTTGCTACCTTTTGCAATCCCTTCAAAATAATGTAAACTGAGCAGTATATTAATCTTTACTTTTGTAAATTGATCCAAGTTTCTTGAAACCAATACGTATCAATCCACAAACCTCATGAGATGCTCAGTACTTCTAGCCACCGAACAAGCTGAATGGTTTTATATTTACGATGCCAACGCACGCAGTGATGACAGAAACTTCAGCAGGGGTTACTGGGTCATTCCAGTTTCAGATTAACATCAAAAACATAAATGTGTGGGTTGGTTGGTGTCATGCTGCGGGCCTGTCTCTACAACCTGTGAAATAAAGTATAATTGAGACCTAAATACAAAAAATATAAATGTACCACATCAGTTCGCTGCTAAGCGTTTAGTGCAGCTAATGCCACTGGATGAAGTGATTTAAAGCTTCAGCATCTTGAGCGCAGAAGATTAGTACGCTTTTATAACTGATATATGTCAAAGGATTGTTGTGATGCCATGGGGGTTTTATAGTTCCTCTAGAATTGGGAGAGGCCAGTTGAGTTGTTTTTTTTTTCATTCAGACAAAGATCAAGTTAAATCGTGGACTTTTTAGATAATTATGGGAATCTCCATAAACAAAACCTTCTAAAATTAAAAGGAGAAAAGAATGTTTCTAGACTGGAAATAAAAAAACATCTTACTATTGCTGCAACCAAAGTACTTTACGTGTGAAGGAGATCAAATAATTGACTTATTTTAGAAAAATTCACAAAACAAGACATTTTATTTCTTTTATTTAAGAAAAACACTGTATAAAGATAATGGTTGACAGAAAAAAAAAGCAAATAATTTTTAGTTAAAGTTGATTAAAACGCTACTTGACTTCTGAGTCTACACAAAGGGAAAATAAAGCATGCATGTATCTAACTAATGCAATAGTTAAAGGTCGTTACTGAAATAAGTGATGAGGACATAAAAGCAAAGATCAAGGAGGTGTTCGGAATGTGACTGCATCCTCGAACTGCATTAAATCAGTTCCTTTCTTCTAATCTAAGCTTTACTGGATTAACCAAGTTTGGCTAGAAATGGGGAAAAAAAAAACCTTATTCCTCCACCACAATACCTGGTTGCTTTTCACTGGCTACTTCAAATTTTAAACATAAAAGCCCTAACCTCCTTGGATATACAATAACACTGCTTACACAACAGTAAAAACAGAGATACAAACACATGGTTGAACAAGTTCCCTCGGTACGTCCACTTTAACTATTTTCGAGGGGGTTGCTGGCCAGGGGGAGGAGGGGGAGCAGAGGGAAAAGGAGGGTATGGCGGCTGCCCCATAAAGCCCATGAGTGGCGGCTGTGGAAACTGCTGCGCCATCAGTGGCTGTGGGGCCCCCGATGGAGGCGGAGGGCCCTGGACGAACTGGCCCTGTGGCTGGTTGGGTATATCCTGACCGCCGCCGGGCAGGCCTCCTCCGCCACGAGAGTTGTAGCCCCCACCGTTGTTGTTGTAGTTCTGGTACTGATCGGAGCCGGAGTTGTAGTTGTTCCTGTGATCTCTGTTTCTGTCTCTGTAGGAGGATGCTGAGGATTGGTCGTCGTCGCGGTTGTTGCGGCCATCGCGGTTAAAGCCCCCGCGGCTATCTTTGCCGCCTCCACCAGAGCGCATGCGCCGATCACACTCGTCTTGGTACATTAGGTTAGGGTTGTTGGAGCTGCCGCCACGGTAACGCATTCTGCCACCTGCATGTAAAAAAACAAAATAAAATTATGATTTGGTGCTTAAGTTAACATTTACCAATGAGGCTTTTTGCAGTAATAAAATGTATTAGTGACTACACTTAGAGGCAGAGACTGGAGGAAGGGAGTCAGTTATTTAGACAGAACTAATCCAGCTAATGAGTTTTTTTTTGGTTGCCCCCTCCAACCAGAAAAGAAAAATTTAAACTCACAACTTAAGTCAAAATATATATTGTTTCTTATTAACATAGAATTCAAATCAAACAAACAGATGTGTAAACACACTTCTTACTGGCACAGTAAATAAAAAGAAAACAGGTCCTCCTACCGCCTCCACCTCCACGGCCCGAGTCCACGAGTTGAAGCAGTTTTGGATTTATGGCCTGCCGGGCTTCCTCCAGAACCCGGACCAGGTCTCTGGCCTGTCGCAGGTTTCCTGGGGTGAAGAAGGTGTAGGCTGTGCCCTTATTGGTACTGCGGGCCGTACGGCCAATACGGTGGACATAATCCTCAGAGGAGCTGGGATAGTCATAGTTGATGACGAATTTTACATCTTCCACATCTTTGGGATAGACACCACAATATATTAGTATTTTAACAACTCAAAAAAAGGGGAAAGAGCCTTTTAGTTGACAGGAAGTGATGCGTTTAACTCAACTTTAATACAGCCAAGGGCTTTATGCATAAGAACGACTGCAATGGTATGAATGCAATGCGATTTCAGCTTGAAGTAGAAAGATTTGGACAAATGAGAGCCACTTACCTGCTTTATCAGACACTGAGCAACAATCCACAGATTAATTTCAGCAAAACATTTTCACTATTCAGCATAGTGTGCTCACTTGATTTACAATGAGCATAGAGATGTAAAGAAGTAGTTTTAGACCTCTGTGGTTTTCAGAGGAATCACTGTTAGCGGCAAAAATGTGGAAGGTAAAAAAGTCTGTTTCTCATTACAGAAGACGTGGGGCTCTGACAGCACTGCTGATCTATTAGTCTCCCATCTCCCCTCCATCACGAGAGGGAAGCCATTTGAGCATCTATTACACAGCAATGATAGTGTTTTACTTCTTTAAATACAGGCACAAAGGCAGAACCTGACTGTAGGGTGAGCTCGTGAAGAGTTAGGATAAAGGGGTGTTGCGGTACTTACCCCCTGCAAGTTGTTTTTACAAAGGTTGTCAGTTCCCCCTGATCAGTCCTGGTTCAAAGGGAAGGGCTGAGGGAGAGGGAGACTGGATTCCTCCCTCACCTTCTGCTCACTCCAGCAACGTCAGACGGGAGCAGAACCGTTAAACCCCAAAGGACACCCCCACGCACACCCAAAGGCTGGTTCTGTTGCTCTCTCGTCGCATTGCGGGAACCCTCCTCAGACCTTGGCCAGGACTGGATCCAGACGAGCCCGTCTAATTCTCTCTCCCCTGTCTGTCTGCTTTTTGGAGCGACGGGCAGACATACAGGAACCTCAGGATGCTCCCAAGGAAGGCTCGTCGGATTTGCAAACTGACATTAATGGAAGTGGGGGGAGGGGCCTCTCTCTTTTTTCTTTTTTTAACTCAGGAGAGTACTAGGGGGCTTTGATCCCACTAAAGCTCACAAAGTTTTTTATAATGTGACTGAGGGGGGCAGAGACAGCAGCACAGACTGTTACAGCTGCCGTATGCTGCCAAACCCTGAGAGGAGAAGAGGGGAGAAGAAAACAAGAATAAAGTCATCGAAATTTGGCAACGTTACAAAACTTAACTTATCCCCCCTTCTCAGAATATCAACCTGTTTTCTCTTTCCTACGTTTTAAAAACTTCTCTAAGCTCTGAACGTCCTGCACATACAACTCTCCTGAAGTGAACACTGAAAACTATTGAAGCAGAGAAGATGTGAAACATAAGCAGCATCCAATAGTTTATACTGACAATACATTAGGAGACATAAGAAAAGGTGCGCAGGGAGTTGTGGCCCACACACCCCTCCTTTCAGGCAGCGTGCCAAAGAGCCCCGCATGAAGGAAGCTTGGTAACTGCGGTAACAAGAAACAGACTATGAACCTGCTGGGTCGAAAGGCTTGAAGCCTGCAGCACTGCGTGCATCAGCCTATAGAACACTACCAGGCTAAATATGTGCTAATTCATTCATATTTGGACTTATTCTGCTTTTATCTTATGTTCATTTCATATACCTGGCTGACAGCTGGATGTTCACTTGTACAATTTCGGAAAGAAAAGAAAAACTCCAGGCACTGACATTATACCTTACAGATAGATTAAAATATGGTTTTAGGACAGAAATGACTTCCCATGCCTGCTTGGGTTACAAGAGTCCTTTTACGAGCTGATACTTACCACCTGCTTAACTCAAATCAGTGCATTAACTTTCCTTAGGGTTGACTAATACACATGTTATACATTATCATTTGAAGAACAAATTAAATGAGAGAGACAGACACTCAGAACTGCGAGCCAAAGAGGTAAACAATGTGTTCACAGACATACCCAGACCCCGAGAGGCAACATCAGTTGCAATCAGGATGGGGGCCTTGCCGCTCCTGAACTCTGCAGAGGGAAATAAAATGAAAATATGTCAACTGAGAGAATAAAAAAAACCAAAAAAACAGTAAAAGCATCAACTAAATAGAAGTGAGGAAACATCTCCATTAAAGAATACGTTCAACGGTTTATTGTGGTTGGAGTTGGGCGGTACAGACTATGAAGGATTGAGACTTTTTATCGTTAAGTAAGAATGAATGAATACTTTATAACAGGTCAACCATTTGTGAACTTGGGATGTTTGGTTTTTCTGCTACAAATTGATAAGCACTAAAGCAGGGGTGCCCAAGTCCAGTCCTCAAGAGCTACCATCCTGTAACTTTTATATGCATCTCTTCTCTAGCATACCTGAATCTAAAGCCTCAATCCCCCCATTTAGCTCATCCGAGGCATGGTAACGATCCACTTATTTGATTCAGGTGTGTTAAAAATGGTTGCATTAAATACTTGCAGGATAGTAGCTCTTGAGGACTGGACTTGAGCACCCCTGCACTTAAGGATGATGCTGCTCTGATACAAAGAACTCATGTAAAAACTAATTTATATTGAGGGTTCATCCATTTTCTCATGTCCATAGAATACCTCTGAGTCCTTCTTAGCTGTGTAACAGGTGTCCTGAAGAAGCTTATTTTAAATAATTATATATTTTTAAGGGCAGTTTTGCGATTATGGGGTCATGATTGCTTTGGGATGCAGCCATACAGTGATCTAAGAAAGAATGTTAAAGTCGTAGGGAAGCAGCTGTTCCAACGGTTGCGGTTCTGAATTCACCCGAGTAGTGCCCAACTTTACACAAGTGAATAAAGGGGATGTGATTGGCTGTTTATCAAGGAGGCGGGATTGTTGTGGTGGAAGGTTCGCAAGCATGTTTGGTTGTGGTGGGTGTCTCGGAAGCATCTTGCTAACCAGTTAGCAACTTAGTGCTAGTAGGTTCCCAATGGGAAGTTACACACGGACCAAGTAGCACTTGGAGGAGGAGAGTGGGGATGAAGTTATTGTGGAAGAGGACCCCAGGGCAGCAGAAGCTTAGTTTGGTGTAGAAGGCTTAAAGCCGTACATGTTTGAGCCCTTGCCTCGCAATGCTGCCAGTTCTGTTAGCTCTACGCCCGCCGAAGACACAGACGTCCATCCCCGTGAACACTGGGACGTAACTCAATGGGAAAGTAAATTATTCTTATTTCAATTGTTGCATATATTAGCTGCGACATATGAATTAAGATGCTATTACCAAAAATTTTTTATTGATATATGATTGGCCGAATTTAGGTGTACTGGCTAACTGGCCAGTACTGGCTAACTAACTTGCCTGCATAAGATAACGAAAAACCCACACAGATTTAAAGACAAGATTTTTTTTAAAATAGAAATTTTCTAACTTTTGGGACACTATGGCCTGATAAAGAGTACATTTATATACATGTTTAAGCCAGAATGCTTTGAAATTTAAATATGACTTCTGTACAACTTTAAGAAGGACAAATGAGGTAATGCAATAAAGGGAATATAATGGACGATGCGACTGATGGAAAGATGGATGAATAGACGAAAAGGATAAGGCAAAAGGGCTCAAACCAGAAACATTAATCTACACTGGATTTCTGTTTTCACATATATTTAGAAAAAAAAGTAAACTTCGGTTTATACTTTCACAGAATTTTCTAGACTCTGTGGGAAACCAACTAATTTGTTCATCTGAAGACTCTGGTCTGAAATGGCGACTCTAGGCCTCAAAGAGTCATAGCACTGTTGGGAGATGTATTCTTACCAGTGAGTACCCAGTCTCGCTCTGGCTGGCTCTTGTCTCCATGGATACACATGGCTGGCCACCTAGGTACGGAAGCCATATTGAATCAGCGGCTAAAAACACATGCTGAGCGCTCTCCATCACCTGACCACAGAGCCATTTCAAAAGAGATACAGAAATAAAACCTCCCTACCCGTCACGCCTCATCCTCCGTGTGAGATCATCACATCGTTTTTTGGTCTCCACAAAGAGGATGGTTTTGTTCTCCTTCTCAGCCATGATCTCCTCCATCAGCTGAATAAGTCTGAACACAGAGAAAGAATATCAGCGGATTGACGTGGCTCAGTTCAGATCCAATAACAATAAAGAGATCAGCCATTGCGTCTTTCTTACTTGTTGTCCTTTTCATTCTCCATGCAGACGTCCACTATCTGAAGAATGTTGTGGTTGGCACTGAGCTCCAGAGCGCCGATATTAATCTGGATGTATTCCCGTAAGAAGTCCTCTGCAAGCTGTCGAACTTCTTTTGGCCATGTCGCACTCCACATCAGGGTCTGTCTGTCGGGCTGAAAGAGATAGTACGCAACTTGTTTATATGAATTAGAAACAGTGCTTCAACATTCGCATGTCAATGGTCATTTTTCAACAACATAACCATCCAGGCTTAGCTTACTCTGATCTGTTCAACAATCTTGCGAATCTGCGGCTCAAAGCCCATATCCAACATGCGGTCGGCCTCATCCAACACCAAATAGGTGCAGCGACGCAGGTTGGTCTTCCCCGCCTCCAGGAAGTCAATGAGGCGACCGGGAGTGGCGATGCAGATCTCAACGCCTAGAGCCAGATATGATCACCATGAAAGAAGGGATAAAGATACACCACCTTCAACACAGCCCACCATACCTACCTCTCTCAAGGTCTCGAATCTGTGGTCCCTTGGGTGCTCCACCATAAACGCAGGTGCTCTTGATCCGGGAGGTCTTGCCATAATCGTAGGCAACCTGCTGAACCTGCTGGGCCAGCTCTCTGGTTGGAGCAAGGACCAGGCACTGAGAACAGGAGAACAAGAATAAAGAGGGAATCAAAAATAGGATCACGGTGCACTGAAACCTTCAAGTTTAAAGGAATAGTACACCCAAAACATGATTAGCCTTCATTTTCTACTCACCCCCATGCTGAACAAAACTCTGGAGTACTTTTTTGATATCTCAAATGCATCTGGAGATCTGGGAGGCTTCTTGCTGTCTGCTGACATTCAAATAATGGAGGTCTATGGCGCCCGAGACAGAAAGGTCCACAAAAGTCCACAAAAACGTGTCAATATTCCTCCATACTGCTCGTCCAATGTAATCCAAGTGTCCTGAGTGGGTAGCATCCAGAATTTACTCGAAACAAAGTCATTTAGAACGTTTTAGAGGCTAAACAGTAGTGTATAGGATTTCCTAATAGCGCCCCCATGCGCGCTCACGATTCTACGGAAGCCGGCAGACCAAACCAGCACATTCAGCTCGGCAAAGAACTCATGCTCTTCCTCAACACTGAAGTCCTCAGACATTTTTCTTTCGTTGTTTCTTTCTTTGCACAGGTAAACAGCACATTTCTTCTTCTACGCTTGCATTATCGGCAGAGCAGACGCTGAATGCGCACTTTCTTCCGGTTTGGTCTGCCGGCTTCCGTAGAATCGTGAGCGCGCATGGGGGCGCTATTAGGAAATCCTATACACTACTGTTTAGGCTCTAAAACGTTCTAAATGACTTCGTTTCGAGTAAATTCTGGATGCTACCCACTCAGGACACTTGGATTACATTGGACGAGCAGTATGGAGGAATATTGACACGTTTTTGTGGACTTTTGTGGACCTTTCTGTCTCGGGCGCCATAGACCTCCATTATTTGAATGTCAGCAGACAGCAAGAAGCCTCCCAGATCTCCAGATGCATTTGAGATATAAAAAAAGTACTCCAGAGTGTTGTTCAGCATGGGGGTGAGTAGAAAATGAAGGCTAATCATGTTTTGGGTGTACTATTCCTTTAACTCTCTATTCTTAGGTTATGCCAATTTGCACTCACTATGGGTCCATCCCCTCTCTCCAGATAGGGCTGATGGTTAATATGTACAATAGCAGGAAGGAGATACTGCAAGGAAAAAAACAGGCAATACATGGTTAGAATATCTTCTTTTAAAAACTTATGATTCACCACCTCTTACTGAATTACTGTGTATTTTGCCTGTGTCTGAATATTACATAAATATTTCCAATCATTTGGGACTAAATTACAGTTCACAATAGTTTGAATAAGCTATTGGAGAGAAATCCTTACAGCCAGTGTCTTTCCAGAACCAGTCTGTGCAATTCCCACCATGTCCTTCCCACTCAAGGCCACAGGAAAACCTTGGGATTGGATTGCTGTGGGCTCCTTGAAGTTCTGCTGCACCAGCACATCTATAACATACTCTGTAAGGCAAAGACAGGAAACACTTTAACTCAAACCTTTCATGGTTAAACTCAAATTGTGTTTTACATTTGTTTTTAGGTGAATTGCATTTTGACGGATATTTAAAATGTAGAACCTAATAGGAAATATTCTAGAATAATAGCAAAATTATTTGTATTGAATTAGAAAGTCAGAAACAATTTTAATTATGTAAAAAAAAAAAAAAAAAAGATAACTTACGAGGAAACTGAGCATGGTGAAAAGCCGTCACAGGTTTTGGACAACCAGAGCCTCTGATGGTGATCTCCTTCTTCCTACGGAACTCCTCCACATCGAACTGATGAGACAAAACAGGAAATTCAACAAATACATTTCACAGATATTTATTTTTAGGACTACGGAGTGTGGAGGAATAAAAACGTACTTGACTCATGCGCTGTACTTCTGGGTGTTCGGTGTAGAAATTTTTCTCGAATTTCGGCAGCTCGTCGAGGTTCCACCTCTTTTTGCGGAGTCGCTCACCAGGATTTCCAAACTTCATGGGCGGGGGTCCACCACGGCCGCCCATGCCCCCTCCAAACCGTGGCCTAAAAGAGCGCCACCGACAGGTTAAGAGGGATCAGGATTCAAGCTAATGCCTGCACAAATGAAATCTATCCGACTCATTGATGTTCTTAAGTTGATTCTCCAATGCTGTAAGTAAGCAAATGAAGTCTGTAACCCTCAATGACCTAGTAGTGAAATTAGAATTTATCATCAATCAGTGACCAATCTTTGACTGGATTTTATCCTATACTCAACTTTTTTTTTTTTTACTTAATTGCAAAATATATGGATATATTTTTACAGTTTTCTTATAATTACTGCTCTAACTGGTTTGTTCTTTCAGGTAAAGGCATGTTTTAGAGTCTCTATACTCCAGTTAACCATTAATCACAAAATTACTTGATGATTATATCAATAATCAATTAATCACGATTAATCTGATTGTTTCATCCCTAATCAGATTTGAGATACCTGAGATGTAGCATAAGTTATGCTTCTAATAGGTTTTCATATAGCACTTGGGCCCACATCAAATTCTTTTGAGAAGAAAATACAATTTAAATCAAATGTACAAAAGGAAAATCGGAAACTTCACCTACTCTCTGCATCCTTCTTTCCACAAGAAGCTCTAACAACTAAGTAGTCACAGAAGTTACCTAAATCTAACACATTCTACACTTTTTGGGTACAAACAGCAAAATAAATAAAAAAACAGAAATATTTGAATACAATCTTATACCGTTGAAAAAAATAAAGCTACAACAAAATGAACAGATTTCACTGTATTTTTAGCAAAAAATGTAGACTAGCTTTACCTGTTGAATCATAAACTGACTTTAAGAAATTGAACTGCTTATAGGTGATTAAGACTGATGAGAATTAGTCCAAAAATAACACATTGTGGAATATAAACTGGAAAACTTTGTCTCGTTGTCATGAGGGAAAATTCATTGTTAATGGACGCTGAAAATGCTTAAAAATATAAAACCCAGGATCCTCAAGTATTAGAATGTGTTAACAAGCCGCCAAAGCATCAAATTCATCATGTGGCATATTCAGATTTCTTTCTATACTCTTGAGCTGATGCACTTTTTAGAATATCACTCAATGCTCATAGCCACAACATTGTCATCAAATGTATCTATTTCTTTAATAATACAGCCACAGATCATCAAAAATGGAACAAAATGAAATAATAGATTTTTCTACAAAATATAATAAATTAATAATTATTTCATATATTTTGACAGGTCCACAATATAGATATACATATTTATACAGCTGCAACTAATATCTTTGTTGATCAATTCATCTGTTGATTATTTTGTCAATTAATCAAATAATAATTGGATAGTAAAATGTTACTTAAGGAAGATTTTTATGGAATCAAATCAGGTGAAACTAAAAAAAAATCTGCTTCTGGATAGAGCATATTGACCGAAGAAAACACTTTATCATCTTAAATGCTAAAAAGTTTTTTTGTGTGTATAATTTCTGCTCTAAGTGGGTTGCTCTAAAGCTAAATGAATGTTTTATTCTCTATATACTCTATATACAGATAACAATTACTAAATTAGTTGAAAATGATTTAATTATTTATTAAATTATTTGATTCTTTGTTTCAGCTCTACATATTTACTTTTGTTGTAATGCCAAGTTCAATAAGATAGGAAACTGCACTCTAGTATTATTGGGTTTAAGTCATAAGAGATGGAGTTCAGGGGTTCCCAGATACTATAGTTGCTCCATCAAAGAGCTGAGAAATGACTTCCTCTAAACATTAAAATGTTTACATATCAAGCAAACCCCCCTAAAAAGAAGCAATAAAATGGAGCTTTATTTAAGCTGTTAAACTATGGCGCCGACTTAAGGACGTAAAAGAGTTCGGAAGCCACACAAATGTTTCCATTTCCTGTACAGTTGGTTCAGTGGTCTTAAAAAAAAGTTGTAGGAACAATGTCATGCAACTTAATGGTGTCACTTTCTTCTTCTTTTTATTTTATGGCAGATTGATACCTTGACTTTTAGCCGTATACCGCCACCTACTGTAGCAGAGCATGACCTGTGATTACTTACCATACATACACCCTAAATCCCACAATATGCTCCTAAGACAACACAGCCTGACTCAATTAAATCTTTAAGATTCCATTTCCTTTCTGTGATCTTAGTCATCCCTTTAACTACATCCTGTCTCCTTTATATCTTTTATTGATCTCACATTGGAGAAACAACCGATCCCCTCGGGGAGCAGTGGGCTGCCATTGTGGGGCGCCCGGGGAGCAATCAGGGGTTAAAGGTCTTGCTCAGGAACCCAGAGTGGCAGTTTGTGGGAGTGGGATTCCAACTCAGAACCTCGGGATTCCAAGCTCTATGCCCTAACCACTAGGCCCCCCACTCCCCTTACTAGAAATTTAATAATAATAATAATAATGAATTTTATTTATCATGCACTTTACATTTGATTTCAAATCTCAAAGTGCTACAAAACAAGTTTAAAAGACCATAACATTAAAAACAGAGTAAAAAGACAGTCATTAAAATCAATACATTAAAAGGCATACGTAGCCTATTAAAGAAAATCTAAAATCAACAATTGTAGGAATTTCTAAAAAGGAAAGTTTTTAGTCCATTTTAGTACATACTAGATATTCATGTGTTTTACCTCGATGTGTTACTTGCCATGTACATCTAAATAAAATGTCTAAACTACATCCCAGCATGCAGATAAACTGTGGAGAACACTAGAGGACTGGAGTTTATCACCACTGGATGTTTGCTCTAACTGGCAAACAGCACCGACCGGGCGAGTGCGCCACCTACTGGCCTGGAAGAGTGAAGTATATATCATTGCTTAATCAAATTTTTTTAAGAATGTTTACCAAAATCAAGCACTATTTTACTGCAGGCACACGCGTCCTGCAATGATTTGCATTTAAGTGCTAACTTCCTAATCGAACATACAATCAAAGTTTTACAGGCAGACAACAAGGTAAACATGGTCCCGCCCACTATTAGGCCACAATCCCGTTTAGTAAAAAAAAAAAAAATACTTTGATAACATTTGAGGTCATTTCTGTTTTGTTGGTTTTTTAGATTCAAACTACATCTGTATTTTGTTGTTGTTTGTACAGTTGTTTTGTGATTATTTTGAATTTTAAACGAATTGCTTTTGCAGCGTTAGCATTAGCTTTTGTCGAGCTGCTTCAATCCAGTCACGTAGTCAGTAAACTATGAGGCCTAGGCATATGTGAACGCTAACTTTATTATTTATTCACTGCTGAATCTAACACAACATACCTGTCACGTCCACGATCTCTGTCTCTATCCCTGTCTCCATACGAGGAACCCCCCCTCATTGCAAATACAATTGTTAGCTAAATTAGTAGCTAAGTGGCTAGCAGCGCTCGGCTCGATGACAACACGGGAAAAGCTATGCTACAGTTAGCCCGTACAAAACAATGTTTAGAGTTTAAAGCTAATAACTGGAGTAAAATGATACAACAATAAGTTTAATAAAATTATCGAGAAACCAATGCAAGCTTTAACTTGCAGGTCGCCTTGTTTTTTTCCTCGCAGATAAGGACAACGACCCCAGCCTCTGCTAGTAAAACTACGTAGCGCTGTTTCAAAACAAACATCAGTCCTTACGCAATGTAACTAACCGATAATGGAGAATGCCCTGTCGTGAAAACGGTGGCGCTGTCGTAAACTCTCAGTGAACTTCTTCTACGACTCGGGTGTAGCAAACGAGCTCTTGTGCATTAAAAAAACAATAATTGTATTCGCTTTTAAAGTTTATTTCATAATATATTTCACTTTACAAAACTGAACAAGAAAATAAGTGTATAACAATATTATAAGCTACCAGAAGGTGGCGATAATGCCACATCTTGATGGGTAAAAGGTCAATACGTTAAAACGAGTAAATTCGTGTCGTTTCCAGGAAGTTCTAGTCTGTAGCAGCATTTAATATCAAATTGTGTCTTTTTTTATTACTTATTGGGGTGTTGGCAGTACAATATCGAGTTGATTTGGTAACGGATCAGGTTGAAGGTCATGCCTTTGTTATTTCAGAACAGAGAGCTTGGTCGCTTCAGATCAACAACAGAACTATTCCACAAGTATCCAGATTTACAGGTTTGTTTCCAGATTAACTTCATCTATTCAAGCTGTGGATTTTTATAGTTGTTTCACTCATTGCTGTCTTTTCAATAATGAAACTGTTCTTGCACTGAATCTCTGTCATCGATCAACTTCAATTCAGCTTATTTTCTTGACCAGCAATACACACCATGCTTCATTTCTAAGTGTTTTGCAACACATGTCATTTTTAAGGCAGAAAACATGTATTTTTACTACATGACTGATGAGCACATTTTCTTGCACAGTTGCTCTCCAACTAAATCACCCAATTCCTAAATCCTTCCCTGACATAATGTTTGCATCTGTAAATATTTAGCCTACCAAAGATTATAAGACAGCCAACAAATATTGCATATACAACACATTTCTATTTGCATGCCCTCATTTTTTATTGTTTGCTGTATACTCAAGTAACTGCAATAAAGTTGAACCAAATCTCATTAAATGCACCCAATGCATTCTGATCATAGTTATAAAGCTTTATGGTAAAGTTCATTTTATTACAAAGTGGTGGAAAAATTTATTTAAGGAAACAAAGCCTGTTGCACCAACTCAGATTTAGCAGTAATCTCTTCTGCATGAATTTACGGCTGGCAGCAGGTAGTTGATTGTATGAGTTCAGATGACTGCAGGTAATTTATCTCTGTTGCAACCAGACTCTACAATGTGACACTACAACTGCAAAAACTCGTGCAATGTATAATGTGCAATTGCTATTTGATACCCTGTGAAATATCCTGTTTCTCTATATTTGACACCCAGTGCAATAACTATGTATATAAATTTCTATCTACCGTATATAAATACCCGTGTAAACTCCCTGCGCGATAACCCTGTATAATAATCCTACAAATAAAAAAAAAGCTGTCATATGTGGACGCACTCTTTATACTGTATACATCCCATGCACCTTTTTCTTCCTTTGGCACCTTCTTCTTCTACTTTGACTATTTGAGCTGAAGTAACGAGCAAATTTCTCCATTGTGAGATCGATAAAGTAAATTAATCAATCAATTCATTTTAGCACTCACCCATATGAAAAATGAACAGGTTGTCAGTGACTGAGAAAACATGTTAAATAAAGATCATGCTTTATTTGAAGACTTGCAACAGCTAAAATATCAAAAATTAATACAGCCGTGAATATAAATGTTTAAACTGCCCTTGTATGTTTCTGTGTGTGTGTGTTTTGGGGGTCAGTGTTCACTGGTAGGACTCAAGTCAGTGAGAGTGTATGCAAGGTCCTTACTACGTATTTAAAATATGGATGTGTATGTTTTTTGTGTTTTGTTTTTTTCTTGTTTGTTTGTTTTTTTTCTCTCCATGACTGTAGATATTCAATTTGTTTTAAAGCACTAATAGTCTGAGCTGAATCTGTTGAAGAATATATTCAGTTCATTTGCTCTGTCCATATTTCCACTTGCCTGACCATCCTTCTGCTTGAAGCCTGTGAGCAGCTTCATCCCTGACCACACATCTCTATTATTGGTCTACTGTAGCATGCTCTTCAGCTTCCTCCTGTGTGTCTCATTGCTTTCTCTTATTAAATTGTTTCTGTATATTCCTCAATAACTCCAGAAAACTTTTTCTCGGGTTTCTTTTCACGCTTAGCAGTTCTTTCAGTTCACTTGTGATCCAGGGTTTATTATCATTGCTTAAATTCAGAATTTTAACATTATGGTGTCGGGGGGGCATTTAATCATGTGTTACAGGAAAATGCAAAAGCCTTTCGGTCCAAGCCCCCTATTGATGTAGATCCAAAGACCCTGCTGTATGTTCAACAGAGAGAGTTTGCAGCAACAACACCAGCAGACAGTAAGTACAGCAACAGTTCCTTCTTTGAAAATGATGTATCGAATCACAAACTCCCAGCTGAGCCAAATCAAACCCTCACTGGAAATACTGTTCATAAACTATACACTACTCGTTGAAGGTTGTCATTAACCTTAACTTCTTTCCCATTGTGTCACAATAAAATATATATAAAAAAGGTGCCTTGCCATTTCCACAGTCCTAGGTTTAAATAAATTATTCTGAAGCATTCTTGCCTACTTAAATTAAGGTTACAAAATAAATGTATAAATGTATTTCATTCGATTTTTGGATCTAATGATGAATAATTGTGAAATGGAAGAACATTTATCCCTATGTTTTTAAAACTAACAATCAGACAAGTTTGCTATGCATTTAGATTAAGGTGGGATTTAGTACTCAGTCAGACTTCCTTTTGTTTTAAATACATTAGCAAGTCGTTTTGGTCTGTACCTATAATGTTATGCCTATGATGATCATTATTAATTTTTATTTTTGACCTGTGAATATGCTTCTATTGAAACCCTCCTACTGTAGCTCTGGGTGTTTGCTTACAGTCTTCCTGCTAGCGGGGGAACCTCAGTCTCAATCAGAAATGATTTCATAGCGTGAAATGGATTTTTCTGCAGAATTGAAATGGATTTTCTTCCATCAACTCAAACTGGCTTTCCCGTCTTAACTAAAGCAAAGCATCCCCATAGCATGATGCTGCCAATACCATGTATCACAGCGGGAATGGTGCTGAGACAATGTTAGTTTTCCTCTGTACAAAGCAAAAAATGTTAATTCTGGTTTAATCACACAATGTTCACTCTGTGTATTTACCAAAAATAAACCCTTTTCTACAACAGTTTTATTGTTGTAACTGTTCTATAAAATCCAGATTTTTAGAAAGCAGTACTAATAGTTTTTCCTGTTGACAGATTTTCCCACAAGAAATGTAGAACTTTGCAGGTCCCCCACATTACCAATATATTTTAACTAATCAATAGGTTCTAGACTGTAATATATTTGATGGCACCTGTTGTTAAATGTGGTATGTAGAATTTATATATTTTTTAATAACAAGGTAATTCAGAAAATACAGCCAAGCAGATGTTGCCCTAAAGTAAATTTTCAATAAAACCTTGTATTAGATAGAGACTTTTATCATTTTTCAGTACCTAGATTCACTACTCCCTAACAGCTCTTCTCCAAGATGATCTCCAGATAGCCAATAGAAATGCTTAAAGCTTGAGATGTTGCTTTATAACTTAAATCTGTCATAAACATGCAATAACTTTCCCCTGGGCCATTCTGCTGTCTGCCTTGGTCTTATGATTTTTGTTTGTTTGGAAATGTTCTCTAACAAAGCTGCATCGGGATAAGTGCAAATGCTTTGTATACTTTTTTATTTGAGAGTTGATGGATTTAAAAAAAATAATTTTCCACTATCAAGTTACAAGTTACTTTGTGTAAGTTTACCTCTTATTACTAAAATAATTAGAAGTTTGTTGTAATAATGGTATAAAGTGTGAAAATGTTTTGCTTCTGAGCAGTTATGGAAGAATAATTTTCTCATATGTTGCTGGAATAATTTTACACCAACAGTTGTTGTTTATGTATTTTTAAATGTATTGTCAGCAGTGTTTTTTGATTACAGTTTGTAATTCTAATATATTTTTCTGAACTTTTACAGAATGTGTTTCGGTTTTTGGATCCGAAGATGCCACTACCTGCCACTTGGTCGTGCTGCGACACACCGGTAGGATTATTTCTACCAGATTCATGTTGTCCGTTACGTCTGGCTTCAAGTAAAGGGAATGTGCATGCTGCTTAGGAGATGACTGTTTTATTATTTTGCTGCTTGATCTAACCGCTGCATTTGACACAGACACATTACGATCTCTCGTTTAGATCAGTGGATAGGAAAAGTACCGTAGTTAACTGTAAATGTTTAAAAGTCATCATAACTAAATCGTCCTCTGCCTGTCTTTGCTATGGTGTCCCACAAGGCTCAGTGCTGTGCATTCTTCTGTTTTTTAAGCCATCTCCTCCACTTAGTTCTATTTTCTGCAAATGTGGAGTTTCCTTTCCCTCTTATGCAGATAATTCCCTAATGTATTAAGGGAACTCACGGTATAAAGTCATGAATGGCCCTAAACTTTCTATGGCCCTAAAGGCCGGTCATCATGAACTTCTGAGTTACTGTATTTTCCGAATTATAGAGCGCATCTGACTGTAAGCTGCACCCAATAGTTTTTTTTTTTGTTTTTTTTTTCTTGAAACGTGTAAATATAAGACGCACCGGGCTACAAGCCACTGATATCTACTAAACTGTCCCCCACCGGACCTGTAGGGGGAGCTCTACTTCTCACCACTAGAGTTTGGAGGAAGACGAATGCTAGTTTTTTGGCTTGAGGCAGTAAGAGCTTCTAATAAAAAATGGGGCTTAGTCAGCTCTTCATTAGTTCAACAGCGTTAATTCTGCAAATAATTGTTAAAATTAGGGCTGCAACTAAATTATTTTGGAAATCCGTTAATCTGTTGATTGTTTTTAATTTTTTCGATTAATCATCAGATAGCCAAATGTTCCTTAAATTAGATTTTTTTTTTTAATTAAACCATGTGAAACTAAAATGTTTCCACTTGAGGAGTTCTGGATAGAGAATATTGACAGACAAAAAAAAATATTTTTTTAATCTTAAATGCAAAATGTTGATATATTTGTTTACAAATTTGGTATGATTGCTTCTCTACTTGGATTCCTCTGTTCAGTTAAAGGCATCATTTACAGCCTCTATAATCCAGTTAACAATTAATTGCTTACTAAATTATTTGACAGTTATTTCAATAATCGATTAATCATGATTAATCCGATTAATTTTTTTAGCCCTAGTTAAAATGTGTGAATTTGGGACATTTTTTCTCCGTCGTGCCTTCTGCTAGTATGTGCTTTTGCAAGACTAAACTAAATAAGATGATTGCTGATCTGAAACTGGACACCCAAATTAGTTGTGAAATCCAGCTTCTTCCTTTTGAGCCAGTTTCCCAAAATAAAGTCTTGAAACCTTGTCTACCTTTTCATTCTAGGCTTCGTTTTAAAGTTTTTTTTTTTTAGTTTTTAAACGCTCAATAGATTGACACGGTCAACAGCTCCTTAAAGTGCCTAAAACTAAGAATAAACATATAGGTTACTCCCCTGTAGCCACTCACAATTCAAAACTTTCTTCAATCCCTTTTTGCAAAAGCTTTTGTAGTTCCTGAGAGATTAGTTTTTATTTTTTTTACCTTTGTCTTTCATTATTATTTTCAGTATGACATATTTTAAACTTCTTTGTTTTAACCCATCTGTTTTCTGTATGTTTATATATATGCTGTATTTTGTGAACCCTGCTTTAATGTAGGTAGTGGAGCAGTCTGCCTGGCTCATTGTGATGACTTTAGGATCTGGTCTCAGATCGCACGGATTTTAAAAGCTGTAAAATCACTGAGTAACGTCTGTAATGAGGGACGGTACGTCACAGATAAACAAGCACTGCTTTAAAGACCATTCTTTCCCATTTATAACTGATTCACTCACTTGTCTAGATTTGAGCTTCATGTTGTTGGAGGCTTTGATGATGATACAAAAACCTCTCAGAAGATCAGCCTTGACATACTAGGTATGTACAGTCATGACGCTTTCAGTGCATGTTGCTCATGGACAGAATTTAAGGCTCCTTGAAGTTTGCATGCCTTGTTTTTACTTTATAGCAGCTTTTCAGAGACAGGAGGAGGATATTCACCTAGAGACATGTTGCATAACAGGTCTTTATACAAAATGTGTATAATTATCTTATTATTTGTCAAATATTCCAAGATCGAGATCCACTAACAAAACTCTTTTTGCTGTAGAGATGAATGATGTCGTTAAAGAGGGAATCCATAGACCGATAATATATGGGATCGGTGAGTGACGCATACGGCTCAGAGAGATACGTGATAAGTATTTTTATATACAGTGAGAAAAATAAGTAATTGAACACGCTGCTATTTTGCAAGTTCTCCCACTTAGAAATCATGGAGGGGTCTGAAATTGTCATCGTAGGTGCATGTCCACTGTGAGAGACATAATCTAAAAAAATACAAATAAAAAATCCAGAAATCACAATAGAGGATCTTTTACCCATTTGTATGATCTAACTGCAAATAAATATTTGAACAACTGAGAAAACCAATGTTAATATTTGATATATTAGCTAGGTATGCACGATATTGGGATTTTGGCCGATATCCGATATGCCGATATTTTAAAACTCATGTAGCCGATAACCGATATCGATACCGATGTTAAAGCTGGACAAAAATAAGTAGTCATTGAAAATAGCAGTTTTGTTATCCATTTCTGACACTTTGAAAACTAATATACTCAGATATATTTTCATATGCTGATATCAAATTGATTTTTAAAAACGCGGTATCGATGTATTTACTTTCAAAATCTCGTGAAATGTCATCGTTCTGTTACGAACTCTCGTGATATTTTGCAAATTCTTATGAGATTTTGTTAGTAAAATAGATCGATACCGCGTCAATATATCAACATATAAAAATATGGCAACATTTCGTGAATTTTCGGGGGATTTCGTAGCATAACGATGACATATATCAATATTTCATTAGTAAAAGAGATTGATTTGGTGTTTTTAAATGGCAATATATCAGCATATGAAGCTATTGTGATATTTTAATGTATCAATATTTTTCCCTCGTCTTTAGAAGTTTTTAAGTCTGTAAAAAAGAAGTTTTTGAGGAAGAAGAAGTAGTAGTTTTTTTTTGTTTTTTTTTTAGACTTTAGAAACTCAGAAGCTGATCAAATATCGGGTTAAATATCGGTGGGGTGGCCGATGTCCGATATTCAGTTTTAAGGCCGATACCGATAGGGGGCCGATTATATCGTGCATCCCTAATATTAGCCTTTGTTTGAGGCTAATAAAGAGGTGAAATGTTTCCCATAGTTTTTCACCAGGTTTTGAACACACTGCAGGAGGGATTTTGGCCCACTCCTCTACATAAAGGTCAGGTTTCTGGGCTGTCGCTGAGAAACACTGAGTTTAAGCTCCCTCCATAGATTCTCTGTTGGGTTTAGGTCCGGATACTAGCTAGGCCACACCAGAAACTTGATATGCTTCTGCCTGAGCCACTCCTTGGTTATTCTGGCTGTCAGGTCATTGAGACCCAGCCTCGAACCATCTTCAACGCTCTGAGGGAAGCAGGTTGCTTCCAAAAATCTCACAATACATGGCCCCGTTCATCTTCTCCCTAATACAGTGCAGTCTCCCTGTCCCATATGCAGAAAAACACTCCCAAAGCATGATGCTACCACCCCCATGCTTCACAGTAGGGATGGTGTTCTTGGGATGGTACTCATCATTCAGTTCTATTTTGCTCTCATCTGACTACATGACTTTCTCCCATGACTCCTCTGGATCATCCAAATGGTCATTGGCAAACTTAAGTTGTGCCTTGACGTGCTGATTAAAGCAGGGGAACCTTCCGTGCCACGATGTCTTAGTGTATTAAGAACAGTAACCTTGGAAACGGTGGTCCTGGCTCTTTTCAGGTCATTAACCAGCTCCTCCCATGTAGTTCTGGGCTGATTTCTCACCTTTCTTAGGATCATTGAGTCGCAACGAGGTGAGATCTTGCATGGAGCCCAAGTCCGAGGGAGATTGACAATCATGTTTAGCTTCTTCTATTTTCTAATCATTGCTCCATCAGTGGACATTTTTTCACCAATCTGCTTGCCTATTTCCCCGTAGACTTTTCCAGGCTTGTGGAGGTGAATAATTGTGTCTCTAGTGTCTTTGGACAGCTCTTTGTTCTTGGCGATGTTAGTAGTTGGATTCTTACTGATTGTATGGGGTAGACAGGTGTCTTTATGCAGCTAACAGCCTCAAACAGGTGCATCTAATTTAGGATAATAAATGGGGCGGAGGAGGACATTTTGAAGGCAGACTACCAGGTCTTTGAGGGTCAGAATTCTAGCTGATAAACCAGTGTACAAGTACATATTTGCAGCTGTATCATCAAATAGCTAAAAAAAAAATCATATATTGTGATTTCTGGATTTTTTTTTTTCCTCTAACAGTGGGCATGCACGTACGATGACAATTGTAGGCCAGTCCATGATTTCTAAGTGGAAGAACTTGCAAAATTGCAGGGTGTTTCCTCACTGTCATATAAGTAAAAAGTTGTTTTGTGATTCTGTGTAGGTGTGAATGTCAAAACGGGGGAGGTATTCCCAGCATCATTTTCTTATAAAGGACCTGCAGAGGACCTGCGGTCGGCGCGGATCTTGACAGGAGGAGAGGTATTCTCTATAAAAAGTGTGTCCAAATGTATCTGATGCTTCTGCTGCTCCTGTGTTCAGTGGCAGAGGGTGGTTTTGCTACATTTGCTGTGATCAGTGGCTAAAAAGTTGTTTTAATGTACTTTTAAGTGAGAAAGTCCACCTGAAAACTTAATCTGTGCAGTAAGTTTATCAAGATTACGATCCTGCCTTAAGATACTATTTCACTGTCGGAGGTGCACAGGCCCCCACATACCAGCGGTGCGCTGTCACTGTGAATCCAGCTGTAGCTGCCTCAGACTGGCCCGTCTCTTGGCGGTTTTCCTCTACTGTTAATGGAGGCTGGAATAAGATGTTAGTGGTTTTCATGTACGTAATCCAAACTGCAGGCACTATAGTGGGCTGGCAGAATTCAACATTTTAACTTAACTTAGGCGTTAAACAGTTTCAGTGGAGTGATCATAGCTCTTTGCATCAGCAGTGCTGTGTCTGTCTCCATGCCAGCTCCCAGATCAGCTTCTGTGATTGGTTGATGCGGCAAAAGTTACATTTTTGCAAATCCAGCATCTGTTGCTTGTGAAGCCCGTGAAGAGCATCAGATGCTCAGAAGCTCATGAGGTTCTGCTTTGGCTGCTCAGTTGCGTCAAGATGCGCTGTTCCTGCTGCTCAAAACACGCTGCAGGACCTTTTGATGCGCCTTGATGTGCATCAACCATAGACTTTGCAGGTAAAGCAGCTGCCTCTGCTGCCCAAAGTGCATTCGCTGTGAATGTAGCATTAAAGAGGCTAGTTACCATGGTATCGTAGTTTAAAGGGCAAACCTGCTCCAGGGCAGTCTAGGTTTCAGGATTGATCCTAGAAAACGCTCCATGTCATTTTGTCAACACAAAAACATACAGATAAGCAAGCTATTGATCATTCTAATCCAAATCAGTTTATTTTTATAGCATAATTTCATTAATCTTACTTTTGCTCACTTTAAAAGAGAGATTCTACTGTTATCCAATCTTGTTTCCTTATAATGATATTACTTCATTACATACATTACTTCTGAAGGCTGGACTTCTACCGAGATCTCTCACACAGCTTCAACATTAGCCAGTTAAAAAAAGATTAGCTGCTAAAAGAGCTTCTTTGTCTTGACTTTGAGCTGGAACTGTCCTCTTCTGCCTTACATCATCCTTCTCTTCCCTTGATTGGGGAAAGTGAACTGTGCAGGCACAGTGCGGTTAAGCTAGGTGCTCCTGGAGGGAGCCTTCTTCTTATGTAGTTATTCTCTAACCGTTTGGGAAGGGGCTGCTGCTCAGGGAACAGAACTCATGAGGATTACTCAGAGATGCATGAATCAAGCGAAATGCCACTTTGTGCATGATTTTGATGAGGGAAAGGCATTATAACACGCTAAAAAAGCTCAAAGCCCATTAGAACTAGAGTAACTGCAGAGCTCTTGTGGAAGGATCTGTTGATTTAAGAACTGTTGGTGGAGCTGTCAAAATACTTCCCCTTTATGGAGGAGTGACAAGTTCGTAAAAAGTACAGTTTGCAGTTTCGCAAAAACCATACAGAAAAAAATAACAAGTAAGGAAAAGGAAAATCCTACCAAAGGGAAGGACCACTTTGTTGGAAATACTCGTATTTGACTGTATACATTTATTTTAAAGATGGAGGCAAATGTTTGATTTTATGGCAACTTACACTACAGAGCTACAGCCATGTGCAGAGGGCACCTCTGTGTTGCCATAGCAATGACTGTTTACCTAATGGTGAAGCGAATTGGGCATCCTATCTTTATCCATCCCCCATCTTCAATCAAACTGCCCTCCATAGCTGCAAGTAGTTTGGAATAGGGCCTTCAAGTGTAAAAGCAAACCTTAGTGATACAGCGCATCACCCTGAACACTTTCTCACAGTGAAACATGGTGGTTACAGCATCATGCTGTGCAGGATCTTTTTAAGCAAGGACAGGGGAGCTGGTCAGAATTAATAGGCTTTTGGATCAAGCTGAGGACAGAGCCATACTGGAAGAAAACCTGGAGACTGGGACATTTTTAGTTGTTGGTGAGCAAAACTAGAATTGACATTTAAATTGTACTAAAATGTCTGTTCCTTCCAGATGGCTGACATATATGACTCAAGTCGTGGACTTGTTAAAATTGGACCATGCCACTGGACTCCTGATCGGAGTATTGAATCATGGTTGACACAAAGTGACGACATTGTTTTAAAGGTAAGATGATATCTGTGAAATAGTCGGCAGTCACAGATCATCAGGAATAAAGGTGTGAGAATGAACTGCAAACCCAGTGATTTAAAGGAGTTTATCTTTTTTCTTCTCTGTTTTTGTAGAACCTGTCTACGTCTCCAATGGCTGAGCCGCCACACTTTGTCCAACACATGAAGTCCACCATCCAGTTCCTTTTGTCACATCCAAACTCTGAAAGCCTGTTCCCTGGAGGGCAGCCTCAGCTCTACCATCGGACGGAGAGTGGTACCTGGGAGAGGCTTGTCCAGTCGTAGGAGGCCCTAATCTTTCTTCAACAAGACCTTTAACCAGTTTCTGACTGTTTTTGCTTCTCAGCTCAATGGAAACACTGTGACTTCTTTTAACCTTCCGTTTTGCATGGTTCAAACCCTTGAATGATCAACATACAGCGTTTTAAAACTGTATTCACATTTCCCGGACTATTTCTAGTTCTGTGCATCCAATTAGATTAAAGCTAGTGTTGCAAATCAAGAGACTGAATTTTTTTGTGCTTTCTTTTCTTATGAACAAATATGTCCTGCAGCTTGTGTTAAACTAGGGAGGATCTTGAACCACAGGATATGGGACCTTAGTTGGTTAATACTGGTATAACCTAACCCCGCTCTGAAGATTCCCTCAGTTGTCTCCTTGAGCTGAGCTCCTTGGTCTCCACAATTGTTCACTCATTTTCTGAAACAAACTTTTGAGGCCTTGAAAGAGGATCTGCAGTATATTCACTTTATTCACTGAAGGACTCTGTTTTTGATTATGTGACTTCTGAAGGTGGTTTGTTACTCTTTTTTAACCCTCAGTGCACTCTGTGACACTGTGGCATGATGGAAAGGGCTCATCCATCCGCCATTAGAAATGCGGATTGACTGATGGATTACAGAGCAAAATATGTAAACGTCTAAAAGAAAAAAAAAAAACAGATGAGCCACAAAGGTAGTCAGGCACAGGAAAAATAAAGCAGATCAGATGCATTTTAAAATGATGGGAGACTGCCTGGATGTGTGACTGGATACAACATGCCCTCAGTGCAGATTGTTGCACATTCTGCATTGAAGCTGCCTATCACAGCTATACACTATTTTTATGTTGGCCTGTCTGCCTAAAATAATTCCAAGATGCACACTAGCTGATTTGGAAATGAGAAAATCCACTTAATAGTGCATGGATTCTATTTTTGGTTGAACTGTCCCTCATGGCTGGTCAGTTTCACAATTGTTGTGATGCTGATGAAACCTTTTAACGGTGCATGTTTCGCTGGTGTCAGCCATCAATTGCAGAAGTGGATTAAGAATAAATGTAAGTGACCCTTCAATAGCTAGGATTTCTTCCTAAGATGGTATCATACCTTCACACACTTGTTGTTCAACATTAGGGTTTCAATTGTATGCCACTGCAATTGATATTCTTAGAATTCATGCATTTGTTGAGCAGCTGATGAAAGGCTGATGAAATGTGTTTAAACTACTGCTCACAGATCTGAACTTATCGCCAGCCAGTTGATGGCTACATCTCTAAGTGTTATCTGTTCTATTGGTGGTGGTTATAAACTATAATTAATGAGTTATTAAATCTAAATCATACAGAGTAATGTAGGAGTGTCAATGAAGTTTGAAATGTTACTTTCCAGGCTAAAGCAAGTTTCGCAAAAAGGAAAATGGTGACTTATTTGGGTTAAAAAAAAACATAAAATTGATTCCTTGTGAATTTCTGTAAATTTAATTTGATAAATTAAATGATGATGTGTATAGTCAAAGTGAGATTTAGCATCTGCAATCAACTGTCCTGTTTTTCTTATAAATATGGTGTCCATTTGTAAGCAAATATATTTATATATTTTTTTTATTTTATATATTGGAAAAACTCACATGAAGAGAAAAGAAATTTAGGAGAAATGTATTGATACAATTACATTGTCTTTGGCGCTCAGACCTCGGCAGGGAACATAGTGCTTAATTTGATAGATATACATGAACAGGAGTAAAGAATAGGGCTGCTTCCCCCCCAGGCCTGAAACTGGTGGTGGAGTGGAGATAGATGAAGTTGGTCAGTCTGTAGACTGCTGGTTAGCGAGACGGTATGCTGAGCATTATGGGGAGATCCAGTGGATTGTGTGAGCTGATACTAGAGCTTCACTCAGGGACCTGGAAGATGGAAGTTCAGTTGGAAAACACAGGTTGAGAGAAGCTGTCCATGATGAGCAAGTATGAAGCGACAGTGGAGAGGAAAAACTCCCCATTTGGAAGAAACCTCTGGCAGAACCAGGCTCAACATGGCGGTCTTCTGCCAGACCAATTGAGATAAGACAGGAAACGCAGTAAGGGTCTGGGAGGAATTACGCTCTGATGAAGCTTTAGTTACGATGGTGGAGGAGGGGCTGGAGGTGGGTTGAAACGGTGTTTCATTCAGATGAAACGGTGTCATCTGAATGAAGTCACACAGCGCATCCACCGCCTGCGCATAGAGCAGACCAGACCGGATCGGAGGCCTTTTAAGATGAACTTTGGATCCTGATTTGCTTTCGTGGAGGTGTGTGTCAAAGCTGATTGGCTATGTCACAGGTGGATGTCGGTGACAATGAGTTTCTCCAGTTGAACTTCCGCCTAGGCTCCATTTAAAAAATAATGCCATAGATTTCATTTTAGAATCAGATATTGTTCAATTATTCAATCTTGTGTTGCACCACATTTTCTTCCATTCATAAATTTGTGTCTTCCATCACAGTTAAGTTGATCAACCATGTGACATTAATTTTTCCAAATAAATAATTACTATGTATATGTTTGTGAACAATAGAACATGCATTAACTTACAATATGGTTACCTTTTTTGACCTACACCTATTATAAACTATATACAAATGATCTACAGCAGAGGTCACGGATTAGCAGGCCCCAGTCCGGATCCGGACCAACCTGCCGGCTAATCTGGACCCAACCTGATTTTAAAAATGTATATATTAAATCAAAAATCTATAAATTAAATCAAAAATAAATATCGATCCAGGCTCGAAATGAGAACCTAGATCTGTGCTTGAGAATGGCTTTGTTGCCATTCAAACCCAGTTTTAAAGCCAGGTCGGCGTAAAGCCCACTGCTCTCATTAAACCATAAAGGTCAGTTCAGGTGTTTTATAAAATGTCAATCAGGAAATTGTCTATATACCAAACTGAACGACTGTTGTTATCCACTTCAAAAAACACTTTAGATTTTAAAATGGAAAAATTTTATATATTTTTTTTTATCTTTTTAATTTAAAAAAATCACTCTATAAAATGGATGCATAAAAAAACATTATATTTCAGAGTTAAATTCTGTTTAAAGTAACAGATTATATTAAAAAATGTCTCCGGACCTTTACTGGTTGATGGTTTTCTTTATTAGGACCCCACTGATTTTTAATTGGTTACCCCTGATCTACAGCAATATAAGTAACTAAGTAATAATTACTAATAAAAAAGTAATAACTAATAAATAATTACTAATAAACAAGTAATTTAAGTAACATAATATTTAATATAATGATATATTATTTGATTACTGCACTTTTTGCCTTTTGTGCGCGCCATGCTGATACGTGTCCTCAGACCAACTCCACCCATTCCCTTTTTACTTAAGTCATTCCCTTTTTACGTCAGATTTTTAGCGTAAGAACCATTACGCACTAGTATTCCACCAGAGCCGGTGGAAGGCAGCCTCTATCGCAGTCTGCTCTGATTGCTTGGAGTTTGACAGAAAAGTAGGCTACACTATTTGGATTTACATAGTTTTATAAACTTTACTTATAGAATATTTACAGTATTTTTTAATCTAATAACCGGAAGCATACAGTTGTGTATATTTTTAGTGATGCGAAGAGAGAGAGAGAGAAAGGGAGCGATGGTTTAACGTCATGATTTAGCTTCCTCTCAGCCTCTCTACATATTGGGCTGCACAGGGTGAATTATGCCGCTTGCGTTTCTGAAGCACGTCCGACGCTTTCCGTGGGTCACCAATGTTACACTGTACGGCTGCCTGTTCGCCGGGGGGGACCTGGTCCACCAGTGGTTCTCCTCCAGGGAGCATATGGACTGGAGACAGACGCGCAACGTCGCTGTGGTCGCGTTCAGTTTCCACGGCAACTTCAATTTCTTCTGGATGCGTCTTCTGGAGCGCAGGTTTCCGGGGAATTCCGCCGGAATGGTGATGAAGAAGCTGTTCCTGGACCAGACCGCGGCGGCGCCCCTGGCCACCAGCGTCTTCTACACGGGTCAGTGAACGCACCACTCGGGAAACATTCTGTCCTGTTAATGACTAACATTAAAATACGTTTACTGTCAATTTGTAACGGACCTACAGAACACGACGTGCTGCTCTTCTGACCCCCATTGACCCAAAGGACTGTGTAATAACAGCCTGACCTACAGAGGTCATTTAAACTGGACTTTGATTCATTAATCAGGCTTTCAGGTTATATTTTCTTATCAGGTAATTAATTGATTGGAGATACGTTTACAACAATCATATGCGTGGGAGATGGGAAAACCTTGAATTACCCTTCATTAAAAAAGAAAAAAAATTGGAAATGATTCATAACAATAAAGTGAAAAATAATATGGGTGCTTAGGATTTCATTGCTAATAGCAACAATTTACTGGTAGGTGACTAATAATCACACTATCTGACTTAAGGGCTATTAAAACTTAAACATGTTTGACTGATTAAGCCTAATTACGGTGGCCCAGATGGGTCAAAACTAATACAAAAGCTGCAATGCAAACAAAAATTGCAACATAAACGCAAAAGCCGCAACATAATTACAAAAGGCTTTTGTATTAGTGTTGACACCTCTGGGCCACCGTACTCTGAGATAGAAAAGACCAAGTCACAACCTTTGATGAAGGAAATTGTTGATTTTGCTAAAACTGAAACTTTTATAGTTTCTTCAACATTTGTGTTCTTCACAGTTAAAGAAATGATTAAAAAATTGTGGAGAAACAGAGAATGTCAATATTAACATTTCTATTTTATTTGTGATTTTCATCAAAATTTTTTTTTATTTGTGTTTAAACAGATACCCTCTGAATTTATATCATGACAATTATTGAAGCAGTTTGATACAGAAGAAGTATATTTAAAAAAGAAATCAAAATCAACCAAAATATTGCCCAGATCTATAAGCAGGTCATACCTAACATATAACAATGACACCACAAAACAGAAACAGCTTTAAATCAGGCTAAGAGCTTAATTAAAGGAGATTAGAGCTCCAAGTAGCTTCTATTCTTTAAGAAGCTGAAGTTCTCTGTTCTCCGCCAACAACTCTTCATCCAGAGTGGATTTGGTCTGAAAATCCTCACAACCCTCCATCCTCTACTTTTGCTGATGGCCAAAGGTTGGCTGAGGACTTGGAAGACTGCTTTGATGAATCTGCTCTTGTGCCCTGCATCTCTAACCTTCCAAACCTCCGTTTTGGGCATTGAGGATCAATTCTAATTATATTGGTCAGCATTCCTAGCGAGAGGAATCCAGAAAAGCACCAGACCTAAATGCCACTTTTCTTGACCAGCTATCTAAACCAGCATCTTCAAAATATCACTGTAGCTCATCCTTATCCCTATACTGGAGCCATGCTCACTAACTAAATAACCTCAAACCTGTTTTCATAATACCTGTAATGATGAAATCCCTGCCTGTGTTGGCATTCTTAAAAAGGCATTGCTGGGCCGTATCCAGCTCTCCTGCCAAGGAATCTCTGTCTTGCGGCATCTTGAGCTGTGGGGTAGACACGAACAGATCCCCTTTGCACTACAACTGTGCTTTAACCACTGTCCTCCCTGATCTCCTCAACAGCAAACCCTCCAAGCTTGCTGTTCCTCTCTCTACCTGCCACTGGATTGAAAACCTTCTGAATGACAGACATCAGCTAGAGACCGTGGGAATCTGCATTCAGATCCAGGACAATGTGCACAGGTGCTCCTCAGGGGTGTGTATCCTCCCCTCTAATTTTCTCCCTCTACGCCGATGACTGCACCCTGAATCAAGCGTATTAAATTTACAGAAGACAAATAGAAATCTACCTGTTCAGGCTTGGGGACGAGCCGCACACGGGAGACTGGTTCCACAGCTGCCCACCCTGCATTTATAATGTGAAGCACAAAGATTGAGCAACATTGCTAATGTGGAGTCCTTAAGGTTCTATCATTACTACACCAGTCTTGATGTGGGCAAGCAACACCTGCTCTTATGTTTATGTATCTCAGTCGAGACGGTACTCTTTCCTCCACTCGATCAAGTTCCAATCAGCCTCCATTTTAGTTTGCTTAAAGCACTTCTA